TTTTTTTATATGTTTTTTTAGAAAAAAGTGCGAAGATCCTTTAACGAAAGAGATTGAATAGAAATAGTTCGTTTGTAAATGTACTTCTTACAAGCTTTTATGTAGCTTGCAATGTACGTATGGTTGTGTGTAAAGTGGAACATTGCAACTAAATGTAGCAACATACATGTACTACTCCGTCAACAAAGTACCGGGAAAAGATCAATAATACACAAAATGTCTGTTGTTCATCCAAATTTACGTTATCACCTTCAAAGTATGCTCCTTTTGAAACGATACACTTGCGCCAACGAATAATCCATTCATCAAAACATTTTTAAATGCTGCTTCTGAAATTGAAAAAAACGAATGGAGTTTCTTGCTCGTTCTTCTCCATTCGAATCTACATTCATAATGAGCACCTAGCTTCACCTAATTTCACTGACGGACTGACTGACAGACTATTATTTATTTTGTATTTGTTGACGTTTCAAAAGTACCAAACTATGGTTTAATTGAAATAAATGCTTTGACTTTTTTTTTACTTTCTTTCTGATATTCAAGTTATTGAGCTGAAATATACAGACACATCTTTAAGAGACATATTTAATTATCATCATCAATCCACCCAGGAGCCCGGTCCATACTGGTATGTACGTGTATATGTTACTAAGTAGGAATATATACTTGCAATGGAGCGTGCGCACGTCGTTTGCCGTCAGTCTGACCGCAGGCGCGGCGATCTACTGCTACCGAAGTCTCTGTGTTAGGACCGCATTTAAAAAAATATTACTTAAGTAGTTTGCTGGTATCAACAAGTGGGTAAATAATAATTTCATTTTATAATATATAAAAGAATACCTATTAAGGACAGGTGCTTAAAGAATATTTGTATCACATCCAAGTCTCTGGTCGTATTAGTACTCTACACCAAAGGTATCTCAATTGTACCTAGCTTGTTTCGTTGTACAGAAATCAACAGCTGTAAACCGTACTTTATTAATTTAAATATTTTGACGGTCCCATGTATCTACATGTCTAGTGTTAGTATTTGTCTAGTCTTAGTGTTAGTATTTAAATGAAAAGTAAACTATAGCTATAATAATCACATATGTTTCCCGAGTAATAGAACGGATTTTCTTAATAATAGCTTTTTTTGTATGGCCCCAAGATTATACAACCATTTGCCAAACGAATTGCTACATATAGAGGTACAATCTTTGAAGATTTTAAAAAATAGAATAAAAAGGTTTTTAATCTCTAATGCATATTATAGTGTTACTGAGTACTTAGAAGACAAAATATGTTTTTTTTTTATAATTTTTATTATGTTTTTATTTAACTATTGACATTCTGTTTGTTTATTATTGTCACATTCAAATTTATAATCTTATGTGACCTAATAATTAATAATTCTAACGACATTCAGTAATAATAATCAATCCAAATCTTTGTTTCCAACTATTTTCTAATTTTGTATGCTGAAAAAGCTAACATAGCGTTTAAAACTGTTATTTAAGACCCTGATGTTACCTATGTTCACAATTAATTAAATGAA